TATTCCCGCACCTCCTCGGTCGCACACTTCTGTCTACCTCCTTGACTCCTAGCCACTAGCCACATATCTTCACTGGCTCTGATACATAGTCAACCTCCAGCTTCCAAGCAGTGGAACTGTACCTTCCAGCTCCAAAGTCTCCCCATTTCACTTCAACCCACTAATTCTATTTTCTTTAGCAGCCCAATAGCTGTTCTTGATTTGATGTTCTTTGGCAGCTAGACCTCTGGTATCTGGATTTTAGTCACTTTTCCTTCGCTTAAAGAAAATGTGACATGTATTTAACACTGTAAAGGCTGGGTGGAGCTGAACAAAGCCAGTTTGTACAACATGTTGTTCGGCCATGTTTGAAACCAAGTGTTTACGCGTTTTACAAATGGCCACATTTGAAGGCATCGTAAAATACCAGCCATCATAGGGTGGAGACGCCATAATCATTTAAATATGGGGATAACATATAACAGTAAACATTCAGACAGTTTTTCCTGCAAATGATTCAGTGTTGCCTTCATTTGTACCTTTATATACAGTCTATGATTTGTACACACAATAGTGGCAGAAATAATAATAAGAAGCAATTTGTAGAAATCTAGACAATGTTTGCCTGATGTTGATATGATGTTGGATTGTGGCTCAGGGAGGTTGGACACAGCAACAATGTGGAGAGTCTGCAGCCAACTTCCAGGTGTGAGTTTGGGGATCCTGTAATTATTGGATGTATTTTTGCAACTATAGCATTCACTGTCTTTATTCATTGTTAGATAGGGTGTTGGCGCTCTCTGAGATTTCCCAGGGATTCATTCATTCATCTTGATGACATTTAGCCGACTCATATCTAAGAGTGTGAAATTTGGTGCAGATCAAAATAAATATCTGGATCTAGTGAATTTAAATGGGGTTTGATAAGAGGACTGTTGATGTGCTATTCCAGTTCTAAGTATGTGATTTTCTAAAATGTTGTTTGACATCACTTCTTTTTTTCCCTCGTGTAATACCAGAATAAGATATATTGAATTAAGTGTGTCTTGTAATCCCAAGAAGAGCAAGGAACAATGAATTGTTTGAAAGACGAGTCATCTCAATTGGATGTATAGAGAATAAACTTTTGCTTTTAATTCTATTCTCAGTGGATGTAAATAGACTAACTCAATAAAGATAGTTCAAGGAGTCCATAAAGTAATTAATTTTAGCGTCCTCCCTTTCCTTGTTTTTGCTTTAATAATTAAAAGAAAACTTAATGTCTTTATTGCTGGTCCAGGTCACCAAAAGTCCACACTGATGTCAAGGGAGCGTTATTATTTTCTTGTTGTCTCAGGTCAGTGGGGTATAAACTCGCACTGCTCGGGTCGACTGAAGCATTTGCGCCATATGAAATTCAGCAGGACACGTCGATTGTTCATTTTTCCCAACCGCCGGTTTCTTATGTCACTCACACACACACACACACAC